GTGCCGGATACCATTGTGTCAAATTTTTTCTGAAATTAACTTTAAAAGTACTAAGTAAGATCATTTATTTTTGCATAATATAATGCCAATATGGTTTCTTTTGATTTTATTTCATTTATAAGCAAATCAGATTTACCCAAAAACTCCACTCCATAAGCGTTCATTTGCTAAATTAAAAAGTGACAATGGGCTAGTCTGTCCCTTTCTCGCATTCTCTTTCTATTCATATTCATTATTATTTTATGGTATTCTATTTCTTTTCATATTTATCTCTGTTTTATAACATTCTCTTTCTTTTCATATTTATTATTGTCTTATGGTATTCTCTTTCATTTCACATTTATCATTGTTTTATGGCATTCTCTTTCTTTTCATATTTATCATTGTTTTATAACATTATCTTATTATTCATATTTATCATTGCTTTATTACATTATCTTATTATTTATATTTATCGACTTTTTATTACATTATCTTTCTCTTCATATATATCATTGCTTTATTATATTCTTTCGATATTAATGAATGCCCTCTTAGTATTGCCATCAACGCGAAATCCATAGAAATTGTCAAATTCCTAGTTGAACATGGTGCAGATGTTAACACGAAACTTATTCTCTTTCATTTCATATTTATCATTGTTTTATGGCATTCTCTTTCTATTCATATTTATTATTATTATATGGTATTCTATTTCTTCTCATATTTATCATTGTTTTATGAATTTCTTTTTCTTTTCATTTTTATCATTGTTTTATAGAATTCTATTTAATTTCATATTTATCATTGTTTTATGGCATTATATTCCATTTCATATTCATCATTGTTTTATAAAATTCCATTGTTTTTCATATTTATCATTGTTTTATGGCATTCTATTCCATTTCATATTTATCATTGTTTAATAAAATTCTATTTCTTTTCATATTTATTATTGTTGTATTACATTCTATTTCTTTTCATATTTATTGTTGTTTTATGGCATTCTATTTCTTTTCATATTCATCATTGTTTTATGGCATTCTCTTTCATTTCATATTTATTATTGTTTTATAGAATTCTATTGCTTTTTATATTTATCATTGTTGTATAAAATTCTCTATCTTTTCATTTTTATCATTATTTTATGATATTCTCTCAATATTGATGAGTGCCCTCTTAGTATTGCCATCAACGCGAAATCCATAGAAATTGTCAAATTCTTAGTTGAACATGGTGCAGATGTTAACATAAAATTTATTCTCTTTCTTTTCATATTTATCATTGTTTTATGGCATTCTCTTTCTTTTCATATTTATCATTGTTTTATGGTATTCTATTTCTTTTCATATTTAACATTTTCTTATTACATTATCTTTCATTTCATATTTATCATTGTTTTATAGAATTCTCTTTCATTTCATATTTGCCATTGTTTTATAAAATTCTATTGCTTTTCATATTTATCATTGTTTTATAGCATTCTATTCCATTTCATATTTATCATTGTTTTATAAAATTCTATTGCTTTTCATATTTATCATTGTTTTATAGCATTCTATTCCATTTCATATTTATCATTGTTTTATAAAATTCTCCTGCATTTCATATTTATCATTTTTTTATAAAATTCTCTTGCATTTCATATTTATCATTGGTGTATTACATTCTATTTCTTTTCATATTTATCATTGGTGTATTACATTCTATTTCTTTTCATATTTCTCATTGTTTTATGGCATTCTATTCCATTTCATATTTATCATTGTTTTATAAAATTCTATTTCTTTTCATATTTATCATTGTTTTATGACATTCTCTTTCATTTCATATTTATTATTGTTTTATGAAATTCTCTTTCGTTTCATATTTATCACTGCTTAATTACATTCTCTTTCTCTTCATATTTATCATTGTTTTATGAAATTCTCTTTCATTTCATATTTATCATTGTTTTATTACATTCTCTTTCTCTTCATATTTATCATTTCCTTATTACATTCTTTCGATATTAATGAATGCCCTCTTAGTATTGCCATCAACGCGAAATCCATAGAAATTGTCAAATTCCTAGTTGAACATGGTGCAGATGTTAACATAAAACTTATTCTCTTTCTATTCATATTTATCATTGTTTTATAACATTCTCTTTCTTTACATATTTATCGTTGCTTTATGGTATTCTGATTCATTTCATATTTATCATTGTTTTATGAAATTCTATTTCTTTACATATTTATCAATGTTTAATAAAATTCTCTATCTTTTCATATATATCATTGTTTTATTATATTCTCTCAATAAAAAAAAAAAAAAAAAAAAAAAAAAAAAAAAAAGGAAGTGGGGCTTCCAGGCACTTCGTGCCCTCTAGCCCTAAGAATTTTGCCCAAGACCCAAGAGGAGGACCGAACCCCAGCCGACCAGCCGGTGATAAAAACCAAAACCGTTTTTAAAAAGTGACAGACAACTCCGTTTTTTAAAAGTGACAAAACCGTTTTTCACTATATAAGAGATATGCAAACAAAAAAGTGACAGCCGCATGTTTTAAACTACAAAAACCGCTTTTTAACTTCACTTAAAATGCCACGTAAGCTACGTAAGAATATACGTAAGAGGAAGGGAGCATTGAAACATCCAATAGTAAAACTGACACCACAACAACAGTTGCAACAACAAATGATGAATGACCCCACTATGTTGCAACAAATGTCAAGCAACCCTATGCTTTTAAACCGAGTTATTGGTGCACAGAGTGGAGGTTTAAGAGCGGCACTTTTAGCGAAAATGGCAGGCTATGGTGGGCTGCAGACGGAACAGCTTATAACCCTCAAAGTCAAATGAATTTGAGTTCACTCAAAAATCAAATAACAGATGTCAAAAAGTCAAACATAGACATACAGAAACAAATAGTGAAAACGAAAAGAAACTAGAATATGACAGACACACAAAGAAACTCAATGAGTTAAACGTAGAGAAAAAGAAGAAAGAAGAACAACTGAAAGAACTAAGTACAGAGGAATATGCGAAAAAAGTGTCAGAAAAAGCAGCAGAAGTAGCAAAAATGGAACAAGATGTTATAAATTTGAAAAACCATACTACTCAATATAAAGTACTGAAAGATGAAGAGATAAGACAAAAAGCCCTGAAGACATATATGGATAGCGATGAGTATAAAAAAGAAGTTGAAGCAAATGTAAAGGCAGAAAAACTTTTACAGTTGCAAAACCAAACCGTACAGTATGAAAACTTAGCACAAGAAAGTAAAAATAACGACGCAGCCATGCAAAAGGCAATGAAAAGCGCAGAATATATAAAAGCTAATAATGACTGGTTAGATGCCCAAGCCAACGCTAAAGCAGCCCAACTTATAGGGTCAATAAGGACAAAAATACAAGCGGATGAAGACAGTTCAAATGAAGCTTTAATGAATGCTGACTTTAAGAATGCCTTCGAAGCTCTTCATAGTAAGGTGAAACTAGTGAACGACTTCTCATCTGGAAAGAAACTGAAGTCTGAAGGTTTCGACAAAGAGTTAAGAGAAGTAGCACAAAATATGACGAAAATAACAGATGCAGCAACGAGACAGGCAGTTCAAAGTGCCTATGACGCCGTTAGAGCAGCTGTTGTGGAAAGTCAAGAAAAAGAGTTACAACAGACCAAAACAGACCTAGTAAATGCTTTCTTAAAAACGAAAAGTCAGGTAGGACATTATGCTGCAGATGGAACATATGTGCCAGCTGGTGGAACTTATATACCAGCTGGTGGAACTTATATACTAGCTAGTGGAACTTATATACCACCAAACCCTCCAAGAGAAGCACCTGCACCAGGACTACCTAAAACATTTACATCGTCACATGGACACAGACACAGGCATGCACAAAAACCAACACAACAACCAACAGTTCAAAATCCAGCACCACAACCACCTCCACAACCAGCACAACAACCACCTCCACAACCAGCACAACAACCACCTCCACAACCAGCACAACAACCAGCACAAACAGAGCAAGGACATAAAATAAGTAGAGAACAAGGAAACCAAGAATTCTTAAAAATGCTTAAGGAAGGTTATGGTTACCCAGATACTCTTGACTTTAGTGACAGATATAAAGAAGCTATTAGAAAGTTCAAGGAAGGAAATACTGACCCGAACCTATTTAACTTTATGGTTCAGCACCAAATGGGATATAATTTCAAACCTGGAAAATACAAGCTCGCTAAGGGATATGATTTAATAGCATATCATCCAAATGACATGGATGAATTTACTCCGAGATATTTGGTGTCAGAGATAAATGATGATTCAACTATCTTCATGAAACGCGTAAAAAATAGAGACGGAACGAAAGAAGAAAGGGTTATGAATGCGGATGACTTAAATAGGGAACTTGTTAAAAACGGTCTCGGAATATATGAAATGCCACCAGATGAGGTACAAGAAACTCCACAGGAAGAAGTTCAGATACAACCAGACATGGAAGAAATAGTTCAGCAACAACAGCTAGAAGAGCCTGAAGGAAACGAACAAGTCCCTCCTTTGGAAACTAACTTCACAGAACTAGATGAAGATTTGGAACAGCCGAAAAATCTTGACCCTCAACAAGAGTATGCGGAGAATATGGAATCTTTCCAAGAGTCTAAGAAAAATTCGGCTGACATAGTAGAAGAATATCGAAAAATGTTCGCCGACATACAAAAGACTCCAAACATCAGATGAAAATATTCAGCAAAGAATGGAAGAACTGAAGAAAATGTACGCAAATACAAATCCTTTTTACTTACGAGCATATAACGTTCAATCTTTGGATGAACTCGGTGAAAATAAAAGGTTTAATTTCAACAAAACATATAAAAATGAAACATTGTTTAAAGTTCATTCAGAACCTAACCAATATGGAAACAAACCTACTTTTGTTTCTGCAGACTATGGAACTACAATGAGATGGGGTCATAAAGCTAATCCGGATAGGTGGTTCATAAACTTACAACCACAATTCCAAGAAGTTGTAGACGCAATGGAAGTGAATGGTGAACCAGATATAGCTGGTATTTTCAGCGCGGCTTTAATGCCATTGAAAGATATGAAAGATGCAGATATTTTGGACCAGTATGAAATGAACATGGCTGATGGAAATATAACACCTGACGTTCTAAAACATTTATCTCAAAGAACTACACAGAACCATAGAGATGGTATATTTGGTGAAGAGTTTAGAAAGAGAGTTAGGGAGAGAGAAGGAAGAGAACCTATTGTACATGACCTTGCAAACGAAAGTTTGCAAAATGTCATAAAAACTTACTTTGCAGACAATGAACCGAGAATGGATGAATATTTAAGAAAACTCAAATGGACAGTACCAAATGAAATGTTAGTATTGAAAAACATGTTCCTTGACAAAATAAAACCAACTACAGAAATAAATGACGCAAGACTGGAACATTGGGTAAAAGCTTTCCCATTCACAAAAGATATTATTGGTAACATGGAAAGAAAACCAGAATGGCTACAAAAACATATATTTGGAAACGAGCATATTCCATATGGACAAGCTCTGTTTGAAGAGCTTGAACCGGAAACTCAGGAAAGAGTCATGCAAACAATAAGCGAAGACTCAAATACAAACTATGACAAAATCTTTCTAGGATATAGGTTACCTGAGATGGGCGACCAGAGCCCAAAGGCAAAAAGGACATGGGAAATTTACAACATACTAGGTGAACATGAGGCAAAGATGCAACAAAACTCAGTCAGGAAGAAAGTAAAGCTTGGTACGAATGGGTTCTATTATGACACATAAATCCAACTATTCTATATTTTTACCCATATGAAATGTACGCCGCTCAGAATATAACGCCAACAGTTTTGGATGCCATGAACGGAAATGTTTCCGAATGGTATAACGAATGCGACAATGCCATTAGAAGGTCAGAAATAGTTCCTGGAACTTACGAATATACAACTGCTGTTTCTTATGGAAACGTAGGTGAGTTTGGAGAAGGTTCTTCAACAACAGTAGATATTGCTTGCGACAGGTTTCATATTATTTCTATTGACAACTCATTCTTATACGTGGAACAAGACATTGAAATAAAACCTTCTGCCAAGTTGTCTGACAAGAAAGGTTGCAATGGAATTTTCTATGTCGGATACCAATATGCTCCAGAAGTTTTCATGGGATATAAGATATATTCTAACTCTGACTTAGTTCAAACAGTAACATGGGCAAACTATGAATGGTTCGCTTTGAGAAACTCAGTACAACCACAAGCTAGAGAACAAACAGACCAGTATGCAACTATTGAGAAAATAAGAAGACTTGACCCTAACGTTCCAGGAGTTTATGTTAACCTTTCTGGACAAACTGCAGCAGCAGTAACCAAAGTAAAACTGAAACTTAGAGTTCCTTTGTCATCTTTCCTCATCTTTAGGTTCTTAAATACTTGCCAAACTGGGCAGGAAAAATTTCTATCGAACTTACTCCAAGCAAAAATAACTTAGTCATTGCACCAACACAAGACCCATTCAGCATTACTGTAGCTGGAACTGGTGGAGCCAAGTTCTGTGACTTTTGCAAAGACAAAGTTGACTTAGACTTTGGTTTCTCAAACCTCAACACTGAAGTAAACTATTATTTCAATGCTGCTGGAACTGCTTGGGACCCAGTTAAGTTCACATGCGAAAAATTTGAATGCAAGAGAATAGAAAGCAGACTTGCAGTCTATATGTTGGACCCAGATATTTCAAATGCTTTAGCTGCCAAATATATTGCAGTTCCACTTATGTTCCCTATACACCAAATATCTGTCAAAGACTTTGCAGGTGAAGTTGGAAACCAAAGTGCTGACCCAGGTGCAAGAACAGATATTGCTTTAACAACTGCAATGAAACATGCAGATACTATGTTTGTACTGTTCAGACGAACTATAAATGACTATTCTTGTTTCTACAACCCTGGTATTAAATATCATATAAACATAGATGGCAAATATTATCCAAGAGAAGAATATTCTACAGTTGAGGATATGAGGTCATACAACTTGACATTAGATGCTATGAACTTTAACAACAACTTCACAACAACCATTAACCCTGAAATGCAAAGTTCTATTATGCCATATGTGAAAGTATGGACTCATACAGGAAGTCAAAAAACTCAATATACAAATGGAGACCGTTCAAACTTTTGGCTTGGCATTCCATTTGCTGACTCAGAAGACTTTATGGGTGGTATTTCAACTGTTGGTACTGTACAAATACAATATACTGGTGACAGAGACGGTCCAGATGAATTGAGAGCAAAGAAGTTTACAAAACCAATAGCACTTTTCACGGAAGATGCTCTTTTGAAGATTCGTTCGATGAAACCTGCTGGGGCTCCTCAGATTGGTATAACGACAGCTTCCATCGAGCAGATTTTGGCAGCAGGTCAGTAAGTTGTTCTTGAACTGACTTCTCTCCGTCAAATATTGACAGTACGCCTGTTTTGACATAATACTGTATTATAAACTTTCCTTTAGTAATATCGGTCAGTTTTGAAGTTATATTTTTGTCAACGTCAAGAACTTTCACCATTTCAGTTATACCAACTTTCTTTGCTTTATGAAAATATTTAGGTTCAGCAAAGACTGCTATTCTATAACATTTACCATTGTTTGTATAAAGAACTATTCTGTCAATGTATTTGTATTGTTTGTGTGTGTAAACTTTGTTCTGCTTCAATTCAAAGAGATATCCGAATACATCCATCTTTTTATTCTAAATAAAATGTCATTTCCGAAAAATAGAAGCGTAAGTGTTTCAAAAGGTTTAATGGCGGTGGCAGATGTGAAGTTAAATTCACCAACTCAAACAAACAGTCAAAGTGTTGTTGTCAATGTCAAAGACAGAGATGTTGAAGTGGGGAAACCATACGAAGACGAAGATGGTATAACAATAGTTCCTGTAAAAGAACAACCAACATACCCTGAAGTTAGCAGAGACTTAAGTTCTGTTGCAGATATTCGAAACGACTACCAACAACTGAAAGACAAACTTAAAACTCAGGAGAAGATTTGTCAAGCTTTAAGTATAATGTTAAACTTGGTCGAACACAACCCTGTAAAAGTGAACTCATATGTCATCGCACCTCATGAAGTTTTGAAAGAACTATTGAAACTTTTGACAGAGGCAGACGATATAAACATCAAAGAAATAGAACCCGACATTAGTTGCTGTGGTGTTTCATATAATGTCATTGACAAGATATACGTTATGAAAGGAGGTGAAACGTTGAACTTAAAATATAGTTTCCCAGACGTTATAAAAATATTTGACGACCACAACATTTCATTAAAATTTATTTGCTAAGTAAATGGCAGAAGACATAATGGTTTATACTATTACGACTAAAAACCCTGAGTCATATAATTCTATAACAACAAACTTACAAAGTCCTCAAGGACGATATTGTAAACTAACCTTAAACACAATGACGACTAAAGCCTGTTTTGCTCTTTTGACACCAGAAGACTTTATTGTTGTGAATGGTAAAAAATACTCCTTTGAAGATACTTACTCAGATATACCACCAACAGGTTTTGTTGACTTATTTAATACTTTACGTACGAGTGTAACATGTGCTGCAACTAGAGCAGGTTTCATTATGTTTGGATGTCCGACTGAGTTTACTATTAATGATATGAGCTATAATACAAAACTTATTTCTGGTTTTTACTACCAACAGTTTCCTATAACAGGAAAAGGTGTCATACAAGGAATGTCTATTCCATTGACATTAAGCACACCAATCTTATATATTGTTTCAAACTTAGGTTCAAAGTGTTATTCGAATGTCGACAGAAACTATTATGACCAAAAGATACTTATGCGTATAAACAATACTTTCTCTGCTGGTTTGCCTATTGTTCATTCGAATGCAGAATTTTCAACCTTAGTGAACTCAAACACTTTGGCAAGTATAACGTTGACATTAGTTGACGCAAACTTTGTTCCTGTAAAACTTTTATGTCCTATGTATTTGTCAATGACGGCAGAAAGTTTCGAATTGGAAGATGCAACTGGTGAAAGTATTGTATTACAAGAACAACTTCAACAACAAATAGCTCAAGAACAACAAATGCAACAAATGGAACAACAAAGTCAAGAATAAAAAAATATTATTTTTTTTATTTTTATAAAAATGTACAGAATAGATGTTTCAGATTTTTATGACTTCCAAGCATTCAGAAATATGTGTCCATTTAGAGACTATAACAAAGCAGTCGAGAATTTGAAACGTTTAGTCATTTATGTTGACTCTGCCCCAGAATGTTATGTCATGAAAGAATGGGATGTTGTCTTTAACAAACCAAGAGCAACAATAGTTTCAGAACAAGAATGTAGACAGAAACTTAAGAAAATAAAAGTCGTACAAGTTGGCATGAAGATGTTAGATGCTTGGGATATCTTATTGTCAAAACTTGAAGATTTTTCAGTTCGTGGTATAAAGTTTTATACACCTTCTCCAAACTTCTATTCTATCTTCACTGGATATAAATACGAACAAGTAGAATGGAAAGAAAATATTATAGAAGCTTGGTTAGACCATGTCAAAGAAATTATATGCAATGGAAACGAAAAGGTTTATGAGTATATCTTATGTTGGTTTGCAAACATCTTACAACATCCAAGTGCTAAAAATGAAACTGCTCTCATTATAATTGGAAAACAAGGAACAGGTAAGAATACTTTCTTTACAGATATCTTATGCAAACTGTTAGAAGGTTATTCGAACCCTAATATGACAAACTTAGAAAACATCTGCGGTAAATTTAACTCCTCAATAGAGAATATGAAACTTATAGTTTGCAATGAACTTCAAAGTATAGATACAACAAAAGTTTTGAACTCAGATGCTTTGAAGAGTCTTATAACAGACAAAGTTGGAGTTGTTGAAAGAAAGTATAAAGACCAAAGAGTTTGTGAAAATGTTGCAAACTTCATTATGGTTTCAAACAATACTGTTCCGATGAAGTTAGAAAGTTCTGACAGAAGATATGTAGTTGTCAGAACGTCAGATTCTCATATGCAAGATACAGAATATTTTGACGACTTAGCAGAAACTTTGACATCTGACTTTTACAACCACTTGTTCTCATACTTTATGACATTAGATATTTCTAAGTTCAATCCAAGACAAATTCCACATACAGAAGAGAGACAAACATTGTTAGAAGCAAACAAGAGTGTATATGAACTGTTCATAGAAGAAAGCGACTTTGAGTGTTTAGATGAAAGGTCATTGTACGATTCGTATAAACAATATTGTCAAGAATATGGTTATATTGCAGCTTCTAAACGAACATTCTTGGCAAATGTCAAAAGTCTTTTAGATGTTCAGAATGGTGTATATACAAAGAAAAATTTTTCTGAGTAAATTTTAAAAAAATATTTTTTTATCCGATAGAAAAGATGACGAAATTCATCTCAGTAAATAAGTACATGACAGAAGTCAAAGATAAGTTAGCTCCATTCGCATATTTGAATGTTTACTTCTACAATTTTGAAAAGTCTACATTTGACAAAATTTGGAACATTGCACCAGTTAAGTTTGCTGTTGTTAGAAAAAGTGGTGCAACTTTTGAAGACTTATACATTGACGGTATGTTGACAGTCAAAGAAAATTTTGACAGAAAGTTCTCAAAACTCGAAGAAGGTAAAGCATACAAACTTGTTATACCTTATGAACCAAAGAAAGCAGACGACTATGAATATTATGAGTCTAAGATAGTTGAAGTTCAAGGTAAATTGGGTAAAAAGATTTTAGAGTCTAAGCCAGTGTTTACTCCTAAAGAGGAAGAGAACATTGACATTGACCCAGAAATGTTCTAAAAATAAAATTTTATTTTTACATGTCAAATTTCTTTTTCTCTGGAACTGGTTCAGGTTCTTTCTTCTCTTCTTCTACTTTCTTTTCTTTCTTTTCTTTCTTTTCTCTCTTCTTCTTCTCTGGTGGAGTTATGTCAAATTTGGCGCAACTATATTTATGTAAAAGTTCTTTGTCCTTTAATAGCTCATCTATTCTGTTTTCTATTTCATCTTCAAGAACAGCGCATGTGTCTTCTTTGCATTCTAAGAAGTTTTGTTGGACTTCATCTCTCCAAGAGGCGTCATCTCTGTCAACAAGTCTGTCATTGACAAACTTAAAGACTGCTCTGCTTAATGTTTTATGGTTCTTGTCATATTCCCAGAAACAGAACTTTAGAACAAATTCACCTTTCTTGTTTACACTATGTAAGATTTTATGGTCGACAGAAGTTTTAGAGTCAAAAAGCTTGTCTCGAATATAGATAGCGAAATCACTAGACATTTTCTAAAAGATAAAATTTTTAATTTTTCTAAAAATATGTTAGAAAAAAAGTTTGCTGACATTGACAAGAAATTTGAGAATGTTTTAAACAAGAACAAGAGGAAGTTAGAAAATGCTCAGATAAAGCCTATACATGACAAGTTCTTATTTGCTCAGAATGGTATAACAGGTCTAATTGCACCACCTGGGTCGGGTAAGACTTTCACTTATCTTAAAATGGCTGCACAACAACAAGAACTAGATGAGAAGAACCCATTCTATGAGTTAGTTGTTATTTGTAGTACTTCTGGTCAATTTGACCAAACCGTCAATTCGTTCAAAGATATTATAAAGAAGTCTAAGTTAGTATGTATAAAGGATACTGAGTTGTTAGATTGGATAAAGAAGTACCAAAGAAGAGTTTTGAAGTATAATGCTATAAATGAGTATATAAATTCTAAGTTCAAAGACCCAAATGAGGAAATGCAGAGAATATTAGAGAAGAAACACTTCAGAAACAAACAGAAAGAGATAGAATACATTTCGAAGAAATTGCAATCTTACGATTGGAAGACTTACCCTCATAGATGTCTTCTTATCTTAGATGATTTCGCCTCTCATCCTTTGTTAAAGAACAGAGAACAAGACATGTGTCGAATTCTTAAGAAGCTCAGACACTTTAACATCTCAGTCGTAATATGTGTACAGACAGCCAAGAGTTTAAGTAAGGATGTAAAGAGAATACTTACTGACATAATACTTTTCCCCGGATTGTCCGAAGACGATTTCATGGAACTTATGAAAGAGTCCATGGCAGGTAAGTTTGACAGACATGAACTATGGGAGAAGTACAAAGTCATACAAGACCCTCATACTTCTTTCAGAATTCATATCTACGCAAACAAAGTTCAAATTGTAAAAAGTCAAGCGTAAAAATAAAGAGTTCATTTACTCTGCTTGTTTGAAGTTGTCAAAATACTCTGTTATTTTTTCCTTTAACAATGGCAAATCTTCTTTGAAGGTAAGAATTGTACAACCTTTCATATCATAGTGTGTTTGAGGTAACGTATCTTGAACTATTTGTTTCACATCTTCATTCGGTGTCATTGAAATCGGTAAGTTTTCACGATAGAACCAATTTCTGTCAGATTTGTAAATCTTAGCAAGGTCGTAAAAGCTTTTGTTGTTTCTTCTGACTAAATGCAACATAACCATATCTTTATCTTCTTCATTTTCCATCTCTTCAGTATAAATCATATACTTATAGTTCTTTTCCTTTCCTTTTGGTACCGAACGTGGTATTCTTTTCTGAATGCTTTTGTCTTTTGCTTCAAGCTTGTTCTCTAGCTCTTCACGTTCTTGTCTATGAATTTCGTCAAGAAGTCTGTAAATATTCCAAGCATAACGAGGCGAAGCCCACATTGCAACAGCATTTACAAGAAGTCTATGTACATAATATCCTCTCAAACCGTTTGGCAATTTTTCACGATTTTCATAGAGTTTTGGCGACCAGGGTTTTTTCCCTACTCGCTGTTCTTCACTGTTTTCATGAGTTTTAGGCGACTGCGGTTTTTTCCCTACTCGAGTTTTTGCGACTACGAGAAAATCCGTAGTCGAATTTTCAGCTTCATTTAATAGTTCAATAGTGCTTTGGTTCCTAAACCAGTCTTGTGGTTTCTTAGTATCTGGAGCAAAACATGCTGTCAAAATACTTTGCATTTGGTACATATCGTCTTTGACCGAACGAATGAGACGGAGTTGTTTGTTAAACTGTATGTACTCGTATTCTTCATTTATGGCTTCATGGACTATAACTGTTGTTGTGTTCTCTGTTGTTGACATATCTGTCTTTACATACAAAATAAAAAAATAAATAAAAATAAAATTAGCGTTATTTTTCTGACTTTCACAAAAGACCAAAAATAAACGCTTTACATGTATTTTTCAGTAACTTCGTCAAATAATTTTATAGCTTTATCTATCTCATCTACTTCAAACGTTTCCCTACCTTTCGTGGGAGCACCATACATTTTCTCAAACTTTTCAAGTAGTTCTGTTTCTGCAGCTCTCATATCATTAACAAACACAACCTTGACTCTATTGACTGTACTGTCATATCTTTGAGTTATATTATATGTTCTTCCTATCTTATATCTCTTTGTATTGAAGTCCTTCGGTTTCTGAACGATGTAAAGTAAGCCTTCACTGCAACGTTCCGTATCGAATGAACCATATGTTATGAAGTTATATCCAACAACTGGGTCTAACCATAACAAAACTATTGGTATAAGACTTTTGTCGATGAGATATGCTGCAGTTCCATAGAATCTTACCGATATCATAAGCTCAGGATTTCTTGTCAAAATTTTCTGAGTAGAAGCAATTCTAACCCAGTCCTTCGGTCTCTTTCCAGATGGAGAGAAAATGTCTGACAAAGAATATTTGTTGTATTTCTTTGAGTATCTTACGTTTAAATCACCTATTCTAACCAATTTGGTGTCATTGTCTATCTTTCGAACTGTTTCAAACTCATTGTTTGTCATTTTTGTTCTTACATACAAAATAAAAAAAATATTTTATAAAAAACTAACTTTATTTTTTCTATCTTAAGGAAATTCACGATTTTCATACGGAATCTCTTCTCTCGGTTTTCCGAGGGAAGCAATCTTATGCCATTTTACTCAAGAATTTTGTTGCTGAATTCAGCAAAAATAATGTTTAGGTGAAGAGGTGACATCTCACCCGTTTTCTCACCTGTTTTCTCACCTCAGTTATTTTATAAACGTTTTACATGGTAAACGTTATTTTTTAAATTTTGTGAAAACTCAACGGTTTGACACATGCCCTAAAAATTATTTTACTCAGAATTTTGTTGCTGAATTCAATAAAAATAATGTTTAGGTGAAGTGGTGAGATCTCACCCGTTTTTTCACCCGTTTTCTCACCTCAGTTATTTTATAAGCGTTTTACATGAATTGTACGATGTATATTTGAAATCCTAAACAATTTCGTAGCTTCTATTTCTTCGCTGAGGATATCAAAAGTTTTAACGATACCGAAAGTTTCTTTATACTTCTTCTTGACGTCAGATAGAAGGAAATCTTCTGCAGTTGGATAGTTTTTGTTCAGAAATTCTAACATATCCATTTTATCTTCTGCTGGCTTCTCTGCTTCTTTCTTTAAGTCTGCATAGTCGTTTCTCATACGTTCTATCTCTTTGACGGAGTAGTTATATTTCCTAATTGCTGCTTTACATTTAGAACATTGCGGGTTCATTTTTGCGTTATATTCTGAAACCTTACCTGCTAAAACAACTAAGGCGTCAATGGTTTTCTTTAAATCTGAAGCAGTTGGTTTTATCTGTTCATTCCATACCTTACCTCTTCTATCTTTATCTCTTATTTCCCAAACACATTTTGCAACTAACGAAACAAAGTTGTCGTAGGTCTTAAATTCTTCAGATTTATATATGTCAGAAACATTCTTATATACCATATCGCAATCTTTGTCCATAACCTTATGGTTGCAATGAAAACCAAGGAATTCATAATTTACCTTTCGTATGAACTTCTTTATTTCTACTGAGTCAGTTGCTTTGACTTCAATTTCGTCGAATTCAGGAATAGTGAGTTTTTGTTGCTGAATTTCAGGCAATTTGGGTAAATGGTCAATAATGTCCTGCATTTCATAAAGATACTGTTCATTTGTTTCATCCTGTGCGGTACAGTCTAAATTACATGTTAACAATTCCTGCTTTATCTTCTGGATTTTTGTTTCGAAAGTATATGAAGAAGGAATGAAGCTTTTCATCTCTACTAACATAGATGTTGGATTCATGACTAACGAGTTTGGTGCTGTTGTTGTTTGAATTGTTGTTGTGCCGATTGTTGACATTTCTGTTCTTTTATACAAAATAAAAAAAATAAAAAAAATAAAACTAACTTTATTTTTTTATTTCGGGAAAATTCATGAAAATTCATGAGGTGAGAAAACAGGTGAGAAAACGGGTGAGATGTCACCTCTTCACCTAAAATATATTTTTACTGAATTTAGCAACAAAATGAACGAGGTCAGGATGTATGTTGCTGAATTCATTCATAACACCCTTTGTAAGCTCATAAAATGTTTGTTTTGAGGTCGAGCCACTTTTGGCTCCACCGTATTCTTTCAACCAAAACTCAAGAATTTCCTGCATGAATTTTGTATAAAAAGCAACCGTCTGAATTCCGGCGGTTGCTATATTCTTCACAAAACATTTACGTTTAGTTTACGAAGAAGTCATGAAAATTCATGAGGTGAGAAAACGGGTGAGATGTCACCTCTTCACCTAAACATTATTTTTACTGAATTTAGCAACAACTTTCTCTCAATTGGAGCTGTGGCATAATCTTTGCGTAAACGGTTCAGACCTTCTTCGAACTCTTGGTCTCTCTTCGATTTGGATTGAGATTGGAATTGCTGGAACAACCAAGGGTTGGAGCTGTAGCATACTCTTTGCGTAAGCGGTTCAGACCTTCTTCGATTTGGATTGAGATTGGTAGTAATTTGGATTGAGATTGGAATTGCTGGAACTGAGGTGCAGGGGCTGGTGCTTTCGGTTCTTCTGGATTGAGATTGGACTCGGTTGGTGGGACGTCGGACATTCGTTGGTGGCTTAACCGTCGGACCACAACGATAAAAATCTCTGCTCCTAGCAGTACTGCTACTGACAGTAGCAGTACTTTTACTGACAGTAGCAGTACTTTTTCTGACAGTAGCAGTACTTTTTCTGACAGTAGCAGTACTTTTACTGACAGTAGCAGTACTTTATCGTCGAAAACCCTCTCAAATTTTCCTTTTTACTGCTCCTAGCAGTACTTTTACTGTCAGTAGCAGTACTTTTACTGTCAGTAGCAGTACTTTTACTGACAGTAGCAGTACTTTTTCTGACAGTAGCAGTACTTTTTCTGACAGTAGCAGTACTTTTACTGACAGTAGCAATGGTCGAGGTCGAACCTACCGACGAGGCAATTTACCTAATTGAAATTAACGAGCTTGTTAAAGACTACTTGCGCAAGGTCATGAAGCCCAAGGTCAAGTTCACCACTATTTCTGGAAGGGCTGCCTTGACTCTCGAGATTTCGACTGGAATTCCAATTCAAATACCAGAAAACACTCCTTTCGACGACATAAAGCAAGCAAAGAAGGAAGCCATTATAAAGTTCTTTGCCAAGCGCCCATGGATACAACTTCCAAACAGAGAGAGTCCAATTCCACGAATTATACAAATTCTCAGAGCACTGTTCCACTTCTCGGGTCAACCATTCTACATAACCTGTGAAGGCGACATTCAGCCAGTTCAGTAAACCTTAACGTTTAACTTATGGCATTCCAAACGGGAACCGCGGTTGGTTACCATGGATTTCCGTCACCGGTCACATTTTAAAGATTTTTAAAGCCTTATAAAAATATGCTTTGTAAATCATTTTTTGTAAATCGGCAAAAATTTGGTAATTTTCTTCAACTAATAAATCTGCGAATAGCATTTATAATACAAGAACAATCTTTTAAAATGCATTTGATTCATTTTTGTATAATTTCATATAGGCACATATATTCTTCCGGGACTTTCCGTGATTTTACCGTAAAATCATTAGTTTACACCAATTTTCCCGTATTTTGAATAGTTTACTGCACTTTTTCCGTAAAATTGAGTTACGGGAATCCGCAAAATTTCCGGACCTCATTTTTCATAGAATATAATAATAATATTTGATAAAAAGATATATTATTTATATTTTTGATTTTTGAATTACGGAAAAAGTGAATTGATAACTTGATTTTTTTATATGGTTAATTTTTCAAATGATATTATGAAGATCTAAAATATTAAAAGTAAAATATTGAATTACGGAAAAAGTGAGGTCAAAAGTGAAATAAATTTGCAGAACAATTTTCATTGAAATAAGCTTTATTTTTCATTATTAATAACAATGCAAAAAAATTTTATCACGGGTTCAAAATTTAAAATTAAATATTTTAATAATTTACATCTTATTCTTTATTTTATATTTAACCCGCGAAAATATCATTTAAAAATTGAATATATTCAAAAAGCTTTATTTTTATTATGACTGCATGGGATCCTCATGTATATGATGAGTGGATTCCATTTAAGAAGACGAAATATCCACCAACTCCTGAAACATTGGAAACAAAGTGTGGAAAAAATGTTTCACTACGATCGGCTATTATGAGAATGAGCCTAATCAATCAGACAAAGGAAGGCTCTTTACATACTGTGCCGAATGTAGTGAAACATTAGTTCAAGGGCAGTTCGTGCGATGCATTAAAAAAAGCAGGAAAAATGATTTTAAAGATCATAAGTGCAAATTTTTACTCCCAATGCCCAACTACGTTCCTGCTGAGCACCAAGTTGAGAATACTCAGCAAGCAGTTGGCTCTGGTAATGATCCTTCGTTAGAAGAGATCATTGCCAGGCTTATTGCGAGCCTAGATATAAGCCTTTATGCCACAATGAAGCCAGCATTTAAAAGCTTCCTAGAGAGCTTCGCCAAATGGCTTAAAAATAAAGTCAATCGCGAACAGGGCATCAACTTTACAATCCCAGACATTGAGTTCACACGGCGCGGTGTCAGAGAGGCATTGATTACTTTAGGCAAAACAGACTCCTCTCGGGGCCTAAAGTTCTGCGAGGAATTCCGCATCTTCTCAATTTCCCTGGACTGCGGAACACACGGCAGCCGTCATGGTCTATTCTCTTGTGTGTGCAATCCAGGCAAAACAGATCGCCACCAATTCTTCGACACAACAATTTCGACTAATTGGACATACGAGGACTACCATACGTGGTTTGATTCTCTTAAGGTTAATAAAAACCACGTAGCTGGAGTAGTCGGAGATGGTTTGCCAGCCCAGGTTAAAGGACTCTGCCACTGGAGGCCAGAAGGAGCCCTTTTCCCTGGCTTACAAACCGTGTACATTCGTTGCCTTAACCACGTCTTGAACAATGCTATTGTCCACGCACGTAAGCAATGTCCATTGTTGAATGAACTGATGAATAGAGTTCACCAGATTATCATTATCTTTAAGAATCACGATATGAGAGCGAGATACAAGATCAGGGTTCCATCAATCCCGGAAACTCGCTGGCTCTACATATATGATACTCTGTTTTTCATCTTTGATAATCTGGAAACAATTAATACTGCTTTAAGAAGTGGAGATCTTCCACTATCCCTTTCCAGAGCTACACGTGAACAGTTACAATGGACACGTGATGGAATTCCTCCACTCTTTAAAGATGCTTTAATGATATTCAAGCCATTAAAGCAACTTCAATTATGGCTGGAATCCAACAAGTCCATGGGTGCTTATGCATTCCTGATGATACAACAGTGCCAAGGGATGTTGGATGAAATGGCAGGAAGATTAACGCCAGATGGTGAAGAGATTCTCCGATCAATCACTACAATATTCAAAAATGATATGAAAGAATATGGTAGAATTGATTTGCTTCGGTTTGCTTTCGGCTTTACACCGTTAGCAAGGAAGATCATCAGAGACAAGAAGGGTTTTGGAGGAAAGACAAGCTATCCACCTATAATGCAGTTGAAAGATGTGCAAGTCCCAACGATTCCTTCCCTGAGGATCATCAATCGCGAGATCACATTTGAGAAACTCGGCGAAATCCTTGAAGAAGAACGAACAGAACGTGTTGACGAGGTAGCCGAGCATGATGAAGAGATCCAGCAAGCAGAAGAGGAACAAATGCTTAACGACGATCATGCAGCCGAAACAAATGCCGATGGTTCGAGGAATTCCTTGGTCTGGGATGTTGTAGATGAAGAGATAAAAGATCTATACACATTCATGATAACAATCCTCAGACAAAGAGCAATTGCCGAATCAACAGTTGATCCAACGATCAATAAAGACGATAGAGCCAAGGAATTGAGTGATGCTTACGATTTCTTCATAGAGCAAGATGATTCCCATCTTATAAATGGTCATCATCTTGCTCAAAATGATGGCAAGTTTTGGTACATGAATGGCATAAAGCAACTAAAAGCAATAAGACCAATTGGAAAAAGGATGATGTCACTTTCGTGCAGTGAAGCAGATGTAGAACGTGTAATATCTGAATTGCGAAAGACAAGAAATTCAATGAACGAATCATGCAAAGAAGAATATGTAGCATGCCGCTTCTTCATCAAGTTGAATGATGATCAATTTGATATTTGATTTTGTTTTTTAATAAAATTTATTAAATAATTTGTTTTAAAAAGTATTATTTTTATTCGTAAAGATATTAGACAGAAGGTGGCCAGCCTAATGTCTATCAATCTTTAATATTAGTAGTAATTTCCCGCATTTCTGAATGATGATTGATTAGCTTTGTTGTTATTGATGTAAAACTGGATAAGTATTAAATAATTATATTAATCTTGGCCAGGGGACTGCTGATGGCCAGTCAGCAGCGGCCACTATGAATCATTATAATTATTTAATACCTAAATTGAGGTAAAAAGCAATAAGACTTGCCGAGCCTCATGCCCCTACCTCATATAAATAGAATCACACTTTAGTGAATCAACATCTATAAGAATGAAGTGTTTTGAAGCTGAAATAATATTGAATAGAAATTAATTTTTTCTGAAATTTTGAATGAAATTATGGGAAATAAAAAAATTACTAAATATTGTATTCATACAAATATATTATTTTAAAGGAAAAATAGATGCTGATAGAAACGATGAAAATTTTTGAAAACTTTACAATTAATTTATGTTCGTTAACCACAGAGCTTGCAATCCAAAGCTCACGTTAGACAACAAGAGTCATGAAGTCTCATACTAAGGGATATCCAACATATATTTTAATAATCTAATGTTTGTGACAAATATTCAACATAAAATTAAGTTTTCGTTTCGTTACAAGGCATTCATACTTTGGAGATATCATATTTAATGTACAGAAAAGCTAATATTAAACAATACATGCTAAAGAATTAATAAATAAGATAATAAAATAAATTTATACGTAATTACTTTCATTTAATATGCTTTATGCTGTATAATATTGATTAAGAGGCATTAAAAGGTTCCATAGTCTGCTCTTATAGGCAAGATTTTTGATAAAAATTTTAAATTTTGAAAAATGATGAGAAAAGGAAAAAAAAGGTAAATGAGAGCAAGAGGAGGGAAAAAAAGAAAAAGAAAAGAAAGGGAAGGGAAAAATAAAAGAAAGAAGGACATATAAAAATTTAGATGCGCATTCTTAATGCCGAGGCGGCTTGCCGCCGAGGCGCGATTTTTTTAGGCCTCTACGGTAACCCGGCAATGTTTTTTTAAATCTTGTACAGCCCTAGTTTAACTCCACTTTTTTATGTTTTTTGTGAAAGTGTCAAAAATAAATTGTTTTCATGAAAATTCATGAGGTGAGAAAAGAGGTGAGAAAACGGGTGAGATGTCACCTCTTCACCTAAACATTATTTTTCAATACTTTTTCAGCACTTTTCCGTAGTTATATATGAAAGACAATTCGAGATAAAAGTCATAGTACATTGGAATAATATGTTGCACACCATTTGTTGTGAACCAAACTTGAAAGTCAGAGAAACTGTTACTAGATGGTTCGTAGA